TGGGTCTTGTCAGCATTTTGACAGTTTGCATTTTAACTTGGACAAGACCACATTGCACATCATCTTTAGAGACAAAGCTTTCTCATCTCAATCACAATACATAGAACCTCTAGATCTATCTCTTATTATGATCAGACAAGGGGGATAACATTGTGTACAGCATACCTGCTTTCTCTGGCCAGCCTCCCAACCATAAGATTACAGCTCTAACTGAGGGTCACTGACCTGCTTTGGCAGAAAAAGTTAGGCATCACAACTAACTGATTAGTACCAACCTGCACACAAACAACCCATGCACTGGTGTCCCCTGTCCTACTGTACTAAGCCATGATCCTCCTGGGGCTTATATAACTGCTCTTTTTAGCTAGGCAGAGCTCAGACAACTTGGCAGCGGCATGTGAGCAATGTGGACACATGGGCTGTCAGCACAACATAGGTCTGTAACTGTAACAGTTCCACTGTTGGTAAGAGTGGATCACCTGCACTTTTGTTCTTGTGGCCTGGCTTGGGATATTGTGGAAGAAAGGAGGTCAGAGGTCATGTGAAGGCAGGGGGTCCTTCATGGTGATTATCCCTCTCCATGCCTCCTCCCTCTGGGTGGGAAAATTGATACAATATACTGGGCTGTGCCACTCACAGTCTGGAGGGGGTAGAGAAGTCTTTAACATTTTATATGTCTGCCTGCAAAGCACAGGTGGAGAAATGGAAACGAAGTTGGCAAATTAAGGTCAAATTGGTCGGTTTTAAGGTAATTTTATGATGGAGCTAAGAGATGAACATGGTTGGAGAGGGAGAAGGACAATTTTGCTTACCTCCTATCGTGTTTTCACTGTCCTGCTGTGTAAAACTTTCCCGCCTATTATCAAATGCAGGTTTCTGGGATAGAGAAGGAGAAAGCTGTGGATAAAGAGAAATTTTGTTTTGTAAACAAGGATGTATATGCAGCTTATTAATATAAAAAAAAATGTAGCTGTTGTAATGTTACACATAGAGTTCTAAGATTTTCACACACATATTAATTATACAATTATCAAACATCATCTTTACAAATCCAAATGTTCAAATTCAGACTCTGTCTGCAAGGTTGCCCGTATACTTGTTATAGGCTATTAAGGTCTTGTTTTATATACATTTCTAGGGTAAGGTTGCTGTGGTAAGTCTTAAAGATAATGATTAAAGTCCCATGAAGTAGGTTCAGTTGAACCCTCTTGGTCCCAATAAAGATACAGCTCGTTACTGGCTTGCCATGGCAAGGGAACAGTTTTATAGCCCAGACCTTTGGTGAACAGGTCAGGACTTTTATGTTGTCTACAAATAGTTTATAGTTAATGGAGCACTTGTCTACTGTCAGTGAAACAGTTGAGTCATTTGTGAGAAAGAAAAAAATGTATGTTAAGTTAATCTCCAAGTAGATCCCTTTCGTGGTAAGACAGTATCGATTAGCCAGAGAAGGTCGCTGGCCGTCACATTGGTGGTGGTAGTGACAAAAAAAAACAAAAAAACAGCCATATATAAAAAGCTAATGATCATTCCCCCACAACCTCTGCTTGGAGAGTTTGTTAAGTGGGATAACTTAGATAAGGCCAATTTTGGATGGAGTTTGTATGGTCAACTGCAATTTTTGGCACATTAAAACCCACCAATTATCTAAGCATCGGACCACAGGAACTGTTGGGCACAAATGAAACAAAGCTGTGAAGGATTATCTTACCACAGTCCAGTAGAGGGGATAATCTGTCCTGTCTACAGTAGCTGGATCAGAAGATTTCAGAAGATGGAAATTCTTTTATCCACACAGTCACTGACCACAGCCCAATCTGCTGAATATAACAGTCTGAAATTTTTACATATCTCTTTTCTGTTTCACTGCTTTATGATGTGGTGATGTGGTAGAAAATGAACTAAGGGCTATGAAAATTTTATTGTGGTGTCTGATTTCCAAACAATGATTGGAAAGGCCCTAGAAATGGGTCAAATGAAAGTCTTCATGAAAGGCCCCTCCGGATCCATCTTTTGTGCGTGATACCTGGGTTTAACCTGGGTTAAGCATGTAGACCAAGGGTTTTTTCTTAGTGCCTCCAGTATCATTAGGAAGAATCCTGCTTTAAGTTACAGTCAAAGCAAGGTCAAAGATGACCCAGGAGGCCAGGATGAGACCTTGAAGAAGAGGAAGAAGAGACCAAAGAGGTTGTAACCTCCGTGATACATGCCCAGTGACCTGTTGTTCTACAATATTCCAGACAGTAATTCAGCGCAAGCTGGATTGGATCTGCCCCAAAATCTAAATTGAATACAATTCCCTGGCACCTGACCAAGGTTAACAGCTTGGACGGATTGCTAGTGGTGATTTTCCTCAGTTTGAGCTCAAAGATCAGAACAAAATTTGTTATTACCAACATTATCAATTGCACTATAAGTGAAACACACAGGCGAGTAGTACAGTCTCCTGGGATTTGAACTCATGTCAAATCCACCAGGCCACCAACTCATGTACCAAATTCACTAACCACAAGGCTAAAAGGTACAGACCAGTTAGACTGGTCGTTGATGGCACCCGAACCCCACTGTTACATAAGTCTTGAAGAAGCAAGTAAAGTAAAGTACTTTATTGTCTTTTTATCTCTGACAGAACTCGTTTTATACAGGTAACAAACAAATCCCTTGCATGTTGCCCAACTTCCTTTGGATACCTCAAATTGAAAGCAGAAAGTGTCATGGTACAATCAAGGAGGTTATTAGCATGTCCATGTGCCTGTCATATAGGACTGATAATTAGCCACACAACAGCTCCATAATGTAAACTTCCTCCCAGGGTGGCTTTGTTCTCAAGGCCTTTAGGGGCATACAGAGGCTTTGGAAGATTAACAGTTAATCTTTTTATGGTGTCTGCATAGGGGGAAGATCAAAGATGTGGCTATAATAGACTCCAAGGAGTCTATATAAAACACTCTAACATCTAAACTGATTTGGCTTTTGGGTTTAGTTTTGAAAATTTTAAAGCCCTGAGTTTGTGATAGGAGCTTTTGCTGATTTGGAAGTGGTTGTAGCAAGGTGCTTCAAATAGAAACTCCTTGGTTATAGGTACTGGTACATGTAGATGGCTTAGAGTCAAGTAAAGTCAAGTACTGGCACAAGGGCTTTTGTTGATATTCATATTCTTCATGTTGACAATTTATCAGCCTTTGACATGACAGGGAAAACTTTTCTTGTCTTCTGTACATGTACACTGTATGTCCTTGACTTTCCCAAGGACCTTTTAGTGCTATTGATATTGAGTTTGACTTGAAGCGCTATTTGCAGGACTCCCCTACTATGTATTCCTCTGTACAGTTTATAACCGTGACCTGATGACACTGTGTTCTTACCTTCCATTGTTCTCTTGTGTTTTTACAGTATCAACAACAAGCTTCACCTGCCAGAGGCAGCTGCAGGTGTGCTGGAATATGCCATGAAACATCATGGGGGTGAACTGGTAACACAATTTTATTTTCCTTCTGTCATTTTGGTAATATGGTATTCTTCACCGTGCTTATAGATAACAAGCAAGATTTGCCTCACTACAAAATCACCCTCACATTCAACTTTTTTAAAACATACCCCCACACATTCTCTTATTATAGTCATCAGAACATCATGGTTGCATCATAATTCCTGTGATCCAGGTTTAAGGTTAGGTGAGGAAGTCAATGAAACACCTCTATATACTGTAGATTATTTGGTGCAATGTTGCTGGGTTCAAAGAAGAAGTCAATTGAACATTTTTCCCGCTAGCATGCTTTGGACTTGTCGTAAATGTTGCCCTTATAGTGGTAGTTTCAGGGCTGTTTTTATGAAGATATTTAATGTTAGTGATGGAGGAAACTATTTTTTATAGAAAAACACTGAACATTTGTCAACAATAGGAACTTTTACCCATTATACATGTATATCATGGATTCCTAATGCATGCCACCATCTCCTAATCTCCAAGTAGATGTTGTGTGGAAACGTTTTCTGACCGTTTGTGGCTTTTCTAGTAGCCCTCTGCTCCCTTCTTGCTGTATCCTTTGATGATTACCGAAGATTAAGATTTCTGACAACAATGATGAATTCTGCACAGTTGGTGGATTCCTCGATGTTTTGCACCCTGTGCTGTGAGATGCTCTTTCACCAAGTTGTGGGCACTGGGGGCTGTTCTTTCAGCATGTTGTCATCCCTTCTGTACAGGCACCTGTTTCCCAAGATTACATGTGCACCCGGCCCAGATGTCTTCTAGTTATACTTTTTTTCAGCAACATGCTTTTATTAAGTTTGTTGTCGATCAAAAGAGAAACAAATAATGTATACATGTCTTTGGTCATTACATCTATATTCATGACTTTATGCTAGTCTTTATGCTTAGTCTATCAAAGAGAGAAAAGCCTCTGGCCCGCTAGCCTTCATGGAAGACTCCAGGCTGTGCTTCAATATTGCATTGTCTTGTGGAGTACATACTATTTCAAGTTCTCATCCTTAGAGCAGCACGTACATTGTACCCAGAACCTAATGTGAGCGCAGTTCATCTAAGGACATCTGCCTGCCTGGTGAGCTGTCTTCATCCAATGATAATTGGCTGCAAAGTCAACTGTCAACAGCAACTGGACACCGCTTAACCCCTTGACCGGCATGGCACCTTAGTTGTAATGTACATGTCATAAGGCATGTCCAGGAGCTGTTGCCTTGTTGGTAAAGAAAAATTAATTACAGTTCTGATGGATGTTTGGACAAGGTTGCATCAGATCTAGAATAACATGCGTCATTGCATACAATTTCTTTTCATTCATGACACAACTGTATTGAAGTTATCTAAGAGATATTTTCTACATATAAGTGAACATGACCTTATACACTTACATTCCAGTGATGTGCCACCTAGAGTCTGCTATAATGTTACATGTGCTAGGATACATGTTCTTCAGATCTCAGACTGCTAAATTGGCTATCTGTGACCTGCTG